AAGAAGAGGAGAAGAGGAGAAGAGAGGAGAAGAAGAAGGAAGAATAAAGAAGTAGAAAGAGAAAGAGAAGCGGAAAGAAGAGGAAGAAGAAGAAGAGGAGGAAAAAGAGAAGAGGAAGAAGAGAAGAAGAAGGAGGAAGAGAAGGAAGAAGAAGAGAAGAAAGAAGAGGAGGGGAGGAGGAGGAGGAGGAAGAAGAAGAGAAGGAGGAAGAGCAAAAAGAGAAAGGAAGAGAGAGGAAAAGAAGAAGAGAGAGAAAGAGGAAGAGGAAGAAAGGGAAGAAAGAAGAAGAAGTAAGAAGAAGAAGAAGAAGAAGAGAGAAGAAGAAAAGAAGAAGGAAAGAAGAGAGAGAAGAAGGAGGGGAAGAAGGGGAAAGAAGAAGGAAGAAGAAGGAAGAAGGACACCGATGGTGTGGTCTGGAGGAGTAGGATGAAGGACATACAGTCAAATCTGTATTTGTAATGTGGCCTCCTCTCCCTGCATGCATGCTATGCTTAGCAGCAACAGAACCATTACTTCCACTAGTGCTAAAGTAGTAACAAACCCCTCTACATAGATTAGAGAAGGGTCCTCTTGTTCCAAGGGTCCTTTCACATTTAAAGCCCTATGACTCCACTTCAACTGCCATAGCAACACCAGATGGAATCCAGGGACTCGCAGTTCAGGGAGGAGTACTTAAAATTCTCAGTCAGAGAAAATATCAGACTATAAAAATACCAGATGTTGTCATGGGGGCTGGTGTGAAATCAGAGCACAAAGCAGGCAAGCTGTGGCCCTCCAGATGACTCCAACTCCCACACAACTGTGGCAGCTATAGGTAAACAAATCTTGAAGCGCTGTAGGTTGTATAAATCAAATTGCTAATCTCAACTTGGGTAGATCAATCAAGTCAATTGCACATGTTAGCATTCATAAATTTATATTAAGGTTAACTTTAGCTGGGGTTAGCCATTGGATTCAGATCTTTGCCATTTGCCTGAACCAACCAAGAGTTGTGGGTCACCTTCGCTGGGAGAAAACGGATGGGGGAAAGGGCATGGGATTCAGGAAATTATATTAGGAAATGGCAAAGAAGCATAGCTCTTCGATTCTGACTACAAGCAAAAGTATTTGAGTCTGAGACTTCAAACCACATTTCCAGTCTCCGTTTTGTACCTGGCCCCCCTTTTTTTGCCTTGCAGCACCTAGTTTTTAGGAAGATTGTGTTCTAAATCATTGCTTCTTAAGTGAACTGGCAGTTTTTCCTATCAGTGTGCCAGGGACCATTTCTATATTTGTCCTTTTCAGCTACAATTGTTTCTTTCTTTCCTGGAAACTCTCCTGATGGCGTGTGGAATGGCACCGGTGCATAGACCACAAATTTGAGAAGAATCGTCCTAAATAACCAAAGGCCTTGGAAGTGATGTAAACCAGATTTGTTATTGTTGTGTGTCTTCAAGTCATTTCTTAAGATGAATCTCAGGGCCCATGTGTAGCAACTATGACCTACAAGGTAGTAGTAGGTCAGAGTTGGAATCCACACTCAGCCATCAAACTGTCAGGCTGACCTTGAGCAAGTCACACACTTTCAGCCTCAGAGGAAGGCAAACCTCTTCTGAACGGGTTGCTGTGAGTTTTCTGGGCTGTATGGCCATGTTCCAGAAGCATTCTCTCCTGATGTTTTGCCCATATCTATGGCAGGCATCCTAAGAGGTTGTGAGGTCAGTTGGAAACTAGGCAAGTGAGGCTTATATATCTGTGGAATGTCCAGGATGGGAGAAAGAACTCTTGTTTGCTTGAGGCAAGTGTGAATGCTGCAATTGGCCACCTTGATTAGCATTGAATGGCCTTGTAGCTTCAAAGTCTGGCTGGTTGCTGACTGGGGGGTCCTTTGTTGGGAGGTGTTAGCCGGCCCTGATTGATTCTTGTCTGGAATCTCCTTGTTTTTTGAGTGTTCCTCTTCATTTACTGTCCTGATTTTAGAGTTTTTTAATTATTGGTAGCCAGGTTTTGTTCATTTTCATGGTGTCCTCCTTTCTGTTGAAATTGTTCACATGCTTGTGGATTTCAATGGGTTCTCTGTGTAGTCTGACATGGTGGTTGTTTGCGTAGTCCAGCATTTCTGTGTTCTCAAATAATATGCCGTGTCTTCTGGACACATCGCCAAGAAAATCCTGAAGCAGAGTCACCTTAGTGTCACCGTAGGTTAGAAACAACTTGAAAGAACACAGTAACAAGATGACCCTATCACAAGATTTTCATGCCATGCTAAGTTAAGGGGAGGGGGGGTGAGTTACCACTGCTGTCATCTACAGCTGAGAGAATGTGACTCACTCAGCAGCTTTCGTGGCCCAAGGATTGAAATCTTAGTTTCCTGGAGCACTAGCCCAAGACCCAACCTACCACACACCACTTGCTCTCATAGACTAGAGAAAAAAGTAATAACAACAACAACTTTATTTATATCCCGCCCTAGCTCCCCATGGGGACTCAGGGCATTAATTAAATAACTTTAAAAAGTACTTTCAGAAGTACTTTCAAAAGTACTTAAACAAGCAGACAAGCAAGTTCAAACTTTGGGTCTCTGCATAATGTTCCCTACATTAGTTTGCTGGGCAGAACTGAGGTATAGTACACATATTATCCATATTATTCTGTTTAAATAAATAGGCTCAGCAAAAAGTCAAGAACTTTGTAGAGCTGCTACCAAAAAATTGCTAAACCTAGTTAAAAGATGCCACCTTGTGGTGAACCATCAAATACAAAACAGCACTGTCTTTGCTGTAACGATTTTGTTAACCTGATCATATGAAATGAGAAACTAGGAAGACATCTTTCAAGGTTCTCCTCTTCAAATTTCTCTCCTGGTTTGGATTATCTACACCCCCTTTAAATTGTTATTTTATATGCATATCAATTGCCAGTTGAATTTTCTTTATAATTGTCTCAAAAAACCAGGCAACTGGTTATAATGGGGATATACCTGGACCCAAATTAACCTTGGGATTGTGCCAAATCTTTTTAAAGTCCTGCTGTAAAAATGATGGTCTTAGGGTCTTAGTGAACCATCTTTGCCTTTGGCTCAGAAATCATATATCGGGGAGCATTGAAATCCACACTTTCTTCCAAGAAGTGTACATGGATAGAGGTGTGATGCTATACAGAACAATACCTAGACATCCTCCTCTTCTAGGTCTCATTAGTATATTTTTTAATTGTAGGCAATTACAGTCAAATCACATATTGTTCTTTTGTACATGTATATCTTGTTTCATATATCCTCTTAATTCATTAAAAGAAACATGAGATATACATCCCGTATTATAGGGCTCCATGCCTTTCTCTTTTTTCTCCTTCTTGTCACATCATTGTTATAATGACAGTGAACTATAAAAATACAGAATCCCTATCTGCCTTTTCACTTTTCTGCTATTAAGGGAAAATGGACTCTCTAGGAATTTGTTTGGTCCTCTAGTACAATTATTTGGTATATTTTCTTTAGAAGTTACCATAGAGTCCCATTGGAGAACCTAGCAAATTCAAAAAGAGGGTACTTTTTAAATAATCTCTAGGTCAGAGGTTCCCAACCTTTTTTTTTGACCATGGACCACTCTCCAAAGTTAGTACCAAAAGGGTTACAAATCGGTTTTTGGTCAACTTTAGATTCAGTTTAGTTATTTGGGGTGGTGATTCAGAAAATTGCAATGGGTAGACCATATCAGTTCTATTTTCTGATAGAGAACATATGCCGCCCAGTGGTTGCCATCTACTCAACCACAGAAAACCATATTTCATAATCTAGAGCTGATATGGTAGTAGTAATCTTTTGTAGGTGATCAGTCTCGCCCCTCCCGACATCCCCATTGCCTCAGCACTATAAGAGGATTTCACGAGATCAGTTGCTCTTGTCGCTGCATGGTTTTGAGGCAGCGGTGTAGTAATGGTGAGGCCACAGACCATATTTTTGTTCTTGCGGACCACTGGTTGGGAACCATTGCTCTAGATCTTCTAGTGCTGCTCTATAGTCTGCTTTGACCAGAAGTCAGATAATTTAATGGCACTGAGTTACATCGGTGATTTCTTAGAACTGCGGTCTGGCTAGGAATGTATCCCCCACAGAAATAGGGGTCTTACTGTACTAATTAAGGTATTATAGTTGTTGTGTACATTCAAGTTGTTTCTAAGGCAATACTATCACAGGGCTGTCTAAGTAAATGGGGTAGCATTCTCCACAACCCATCTCCATTCAGCACAAAATAAATTCAAGTTGTGCAGCACATCAGCAGGCAAAAAGCAAGCAACATAAACTAATTCAGCACATCTCCCATAGGCGAAGGCTATATTTCATTGGACTGAATAGAAATGTAGTCATACTTAAGAGGAAGCTGGTCACAGCCAATGTGGGATGATCACTTGGATTTAGACTTGGTCAGACCTACTAAATCAACAAGAACTAGGTGAATCAACACTTAAGCAAGTTCCATAGAACAATTCTTTCAGTGTTTATTCTACAATGTAGATGCAACCCAGGAAGATCAGTGGAAGAGAGGAAATTTAAATATCATAATACAAAGGATTCTGTGACTGGAGACTTTCATGACATGCTCTAAACCAGGGGTCCACAAACTTTTTAAACAGAGGGCCAGGTCACAGTCCCTCAAACTGTTGGGGGGCCGGATTATAATTTGAAAAAAAACATCTTATTTGTAGTGCAAAAACACTTCAAAACAATACAATAATTAAAATGAAGAACAATTTTAATAAATATAAGCTTATTCGTATTTCAGTGGGAAGTATGGGCCTGCTTTTGGCTGATGAGATAGGATTGTTGTTGTCGTGGTGTGCTTTCAAGTCATTTCAGACTTAGGTTGATCCTGAGCAAGGGCTGGGTAAATGACCTTGGAGGGCCGTATCTGGCTCCCAGGCCTCAGTTTGAGGATCCCTGTTCTAAACCTTGGAACTAGGCATGATATAAGCGAATAAGCAAATAAACAGGTACAAAACATGCAGGCATCTGTATCAAGTTGTGTTATTTACATATTTATTTGTCAAGTCATTAGTGGAGTCAGTTTAAATAAATAAGGAGAGAAAACAATAGTCCACATGATAGATACAGAAAACTGAGAAGCATTTGGTAGAGGTTTTTTTTAGGGGAAAAAAAACAGTGAACACAGATGTAGAAATCTCATTTGTTACAGCTGCCATGTACATATCATGATGGACATATCTGGAAGATATAGAGATGCAAGTCAGCTCACTGCGTGGTGCAACGTAAGCCGCAAGCTACCCATTGCCTGTGATGAACTGTAGTACTGCATTTCCTACCAAGCAGGGCTTGGGATCTTCCGGCCTTACTGATGTTGGGACTCCAATAGCCACAAGAAATAGTCCAAGGTGTCCAACAGCATCTGGAGGGTGACACAACTCCTTTAGAGTTGCTGTAAGTGCTTTCAGTAGCAGTGATATATAAATGAACTGATGTTACAGATTGCGTCATTCATCTGAGTAACCAGCCCAATGCTTCCACAATTCTGTTGACTATATTGCAGCACTGACAACAGGAGTATTTTGTGAGAGAATTGAACTGAAATGAGATCTTCAAAGAAAATGTAATAGTAGTGCCCATTTCCTTTCTGCATGTTTCACTGCAATCGACCTCTCGTCTTCATTGAGGTTATGTGCTTGTTTGAGTATCTTTAGCACCTTTTGTCATTTAAGATTTTTTTTAAAAAAAATGTCCAAAAGTTCACTCCAGTCTTACAGCTGGGACTATAGCTACACATAAAACTATTCAGTCCCACCAACACTGAAATGGTTGCAATATTAAACAGAAAAAAACATAGCAACAAAATTAAAAGAAAAACAACACAGCTGTCTACCCGTATCTAGATATATAAATCCATGGTTTAAAATTTGGAGAAGTCCTTGGTAACAGCTTCAAGTTGTTGCAACCTCCACCCACACACAAAAAGATTACCAACAAAATAGCTCGTGGTTTACATGACATCTGAATCCAAGAGTCATTTCATATAAGGATAGGAAAATTACTACATGAAACACCACACAACCAACATGTGTACTAACTGTATCAAATGTCTTTCACACTCTGTGCTAAGTGAAACACATGTGGTGCCAGTATCAGAAGTGATCTGCTCTAGGGTTTTATAAACACAGGTGGCATTTAAAAAAAAAATAGTTCAGTAAAATCTCAGAAACATCATCAAGAGTTCATTACATGAATTCCATATGAGATCATTGTATGGATTCTGTAAGGTAAACTTTTGTAAGAGGGAGGAGAGAGGAATGGGGCCAATCCATCTGAACACAATGAGCGTTATGTAATTTCAAGTATTTCAATTGCGTACATCCACAGGACAGATGTAGTAGATATCTTATCAATACACTGGAGTCTTTATTTGTGAAAGTTTCAGACTGGGATTTTAAGGACTATGGGCCCTTCCACGCATCCATAAAATCCAGAATTTCAAGGCAGAAAATCCCACAATATCTGCTTTGAACTGGGTTATCTGAGTCCACACTGCCATATATCCCAGTTCAAAGCAAATAACGTGGGATTTTATTCAGCTATGTGGAAGGGGCCTATGAAAGAGCTAGTCCCAATTCGAGTAGACTCGTTAAAGTACACAAGAGCTGACTGACTTAACAAGTCTGATCTTTTTGTAACTAGCAAATGGATTTCAGTTCTTACATTTTTGTGGATATAATTCCAAATTTGTTGCTATGTAATGCAGAAAAGAGGGTGATTTGCTGTATTGACTACATATTCCAGGATAATAAAACTAACCCAGAATGAAAATATGTTTTCACAGAAAGATTAAAGCAAGAAGTGTGAGTGTTTGAATGCTAAAACTTCAGTAAATTGGGAAAGAGAGAGAGAGAGAGAGAAAAAAATCAAAGGTCTTAAGCCATTTACTAGTTTGTGAGTGTTGAATCTTTAAATCACCAGGAACCATTCTGCTTTTTCCAAAAAGTGTCCACAAACAACTAGGAAAAGAACAAACTGATGAAAGCCACTTCAGCCATATTCAAGACTCTGGAAGATCTTAAAAAGTTGCAGCTCAGGATGGTTAGTCTATAGAAATAATCACATTAAAGCTCGGAAATGCTTTAAGAGACTTGTCTGGAGTCCTGCCTGAATCAAAGTGCTAAGAAGGAAGCTGAACAAAATTTTAAAAAAATCCAAGATACATCCTGTAGTTTAAGAAAAAGTCAGTCATACAAAAATCCTGGAAGAATCATCCTGACTTTTCACATATTACAGTGTCAGTTGCTACTATGATGCCATGATCAACACTCATTCTGTCATAAATTGAGCAGCGGTTGCTCGTGATCAGAAGGCAAAGGAGAAGAATTGACTAACTTCATCACCATAATTGCAGAACACCAAATATGAGGTCCCAGCCACACAGTTTAGCAAGACTATATTAAGAAAAGATATCCCTAGAGCTCTGTCAGATTTCTGTAACTAGTGTCAACAATTTTTTGGTGCAAAGAATACAAACAAACAAACAAAACGGGAGGAGGACCCCACGTTAAAGCCAAAGAATCCATTCTTTAAAAATGACATTGGATACATGTTTGTAACAGATGCTTAAACTCCTTTCTGTTAAAGAAAACAGAAAGGATTTGATGAAACACTCTGACAGAAGCCTGCCAAGATGTTTAGTGGTTTTGATTTAAAGCCTCCAAAATTGCCATGCATTGAAACAAAAATGCCAGGCTTCATTACCTGATTAAGATAATTCTTTAAACCTTTGCATGAGCCCAAAATTGATTTTCCCCTATGGGAGAAGCAGCCTTTCGAGCCATCTTCCAAAGCAGGGGGGGAAAAAACATTACAGCATTCCTGTGTAAGGCTCAAGGAATGCAGTTTTTATATATAAATTATATAAATGAATTAAGCTAGATCCTAACTGCAAAAAATGTGCAGTTTGTGACAAAAGCCAGCCACTGTCATTTTAGTGCTGAAAAGCTGAGCCCACTCACACAAAAATACGCCAAATAAGAAAATACAGGGGAGGACACTTTCTTGCAAACTCCACCCGCAAAGCATAGCAGGCATTTCCTTTGGCTAACTTCCTTCTTCCTAGTCCCAACTTGTTCTCCATTAAAATGTTGCCCAAATCTCTTCTGAAATAACGTATTCATGCCAGTGGAACTGGAACCGTATAACTGCAGAAGTGCGGACCACCAGTCACTTGGGGCTTATCCAATATTCCCATTTTAATCATCTTCGACAGGAACCCTTCGCTGACGTGCCGATTTCTGCCGACTCCTCTGTGGAGTAGAAGGCGCATCCTGTTCCGTTTCTGGCTCCGTGGCTTCACTATCCCCTTGTTGGGATCCGGTGTCTCCTATCAGCTCTCGTAGAAACTTGAACTTTGATAAGAAGAGCTGCCAGACCACGTACCAACCTAGAGAACATGTTGAGAAAGAAAAATTATCCCATGAACTCAAGTTAGCTGCTCTATATCTACAAAAAAAAACACCATCCATAAATCAAGATGAGATCGTATATTTTCTGTAACATCCAGTCCAACTCTCAGCCATGGAGGAACACACAATGAAGGCTATTAAGGTCCTCATATCTACACAACAGATATAATGGTTTGATAGCAGAGTGATTTATTAGGGAATCCTGGAGTTTGTCATTCGGTGACAGCATTTGTCATTTGAGATAGATCACCACTGTAGTTCAAGGGGCATTCTCGAGTTTTTAAGTCAAGAATTATAAGCATCTCACCAAACTATTTCCAGGAAATAAAGCCTGGCTGCTCCCTGGAGGGAAGCATATCAGAAGCAAAGACGAAGTACTTTGGCCACATCATGAGAAGACAGGAAAGCTTGGAGAAGACAATGATGCTGGGGAAAATGGAAGGAAAAAGGAAGAGGGGCCGACCAAGGGCAAGATGGATGGATGGCATCCTTGAAGTGACTGGTTTGACCCTGAAGGAGCTGGGGGTGGCCACAGCCAAAAGGGAGCTCTGGCATGAGCTGGTCCATGAGGTCACAAAGAGTCAGAAGCACCTGAATGAATAAACAAGAACAAACACCAAACTACAGATCCCAGGGTTATGTAGGATAGAAATGCAATACTTCAAATGGTTCATATTGCTTCAACTGTGAAGTCTAGATCAGAGCTTCTTAAACCTTTTCCACTTTATAGTAAATTGGCATTTGCAAAGCTTGCTGAACAGGCTGGTATTCCCTTTTGTAGAGTACAGCTGAAGCATTCTCTGCGGAGTCCACTGCACATTGCTGCTAACAGATCTGTATAAAACTCAGAAATGTTTTGCTGTTGCCAAATATTTCATGGCCCCAACATTGAATTAAGAGCATCCCATTTGAGGTCGGGACTCACAGCTTAAGAAGCAATGATCTAGCTCAGTTGTTCCAAACCTTTGGTCCTTATTTTTATTTATTACTTATTTAAAGTATTTATATTCTGCCCTTCTGACCCCGTAGGGGACTCAAGGCGGATTGCAATGCACATATACATGGCAAACATTCAATGCCAATTAGACATACAACATATAAAGACAGACACAGAGGCAATTTAACATTCCAGGTTTCCGGCTTCATGAGGGTATGCTCAATTCTGGCCACAGGGGGAGCTGCTGCTTCACCATCTATTTGTGGCACCGAGACCTTTGATGGAGTACTTCCTCATTCTTCTACAAGCTGCTGGAAGGTTTCATGGCATCGTAAATTAGTTAAATTAGCCTCCCAAAATAAAGTGGTACCTAAATTTCCTACTTGACAGATGTAACTGTATTTCAGGCTACAAAGGTCAACAGCAAGCTAGACTAATGCCTGGAAGCTCACTCCGACCTGGGCTGGCTTCGAACTCATGACCTCTCGGTTAGTAGTGATTTAATGCAGCTGGCTATCAGTTATCTGTGCCACAGCCCTTTCTTTGGGTTTGGGGACTTTAGCTCCCAGAGGGTCCAACCATCTTGACCAACTCTCAGGAATAATGTAAATTATGTAAAGGTTGGGAACCACTGGTCTAGATATATTCATAGCGGCATCAACTGCCATGTGGGAAATGTTTAAAACCCTCCTATTGGATACATCCTACCTCTGTTCATGTCCAGTGTTTATTTTTAAAGTTTTAACTATTACATCTGGCCTGGCCATAGGTTTTTAAATTCTTGTGTGTTATTGTCTATATGTGAATTATATTAATTGTATTATTTATTTCGCTTATTGCTTGTTGTTTTTATTGATGTGTTGTTGGGCTTGGCCTCATGTAAGCCGCGAGTCCCTTGGGGAGATGGTGGTGGGGTATAAATAAAGTATTATTATTATTATTATTATTATTATTTTCCACCAAAAGGCCATTTTCTTCTTCTCTTCCCCTTTGCTATTTTTCTTTCGCAGCTTCCCTTTCACTTGCTTTCCCTATTTTGCATAATATTTGGTATGAAACAAATGTTACATACCATGCTAAAACAGTGGATGTGGCTCTCAATGAAACATGCTGTATGATTGCAGGATGCCTACGTCCCACATCACTGGATAAATTACACTGTTTAGCTGGTATTGCACCACCTGACATCCACTGGGAAGTAGCAATAATGAAAGGACCAAGGCAGTGACATCTCTGGCCCATCCTCTGTTTGGATATCAGCCAGCATGCCAACGTCTTAAGCCAAAAATTAGTTTTGTAAAATCTACGGAGATAATCGCAGGAACACCTCAGCAAGAAAGAGTCCAAAAGTGGCAGACAAAAACCCAGAACCTCAATCAATGACTAATACCAAATGAGAGATTCCCTCCTGGGTACACGGATGACGGGACGACTTGGAAGGTGCTAAACAGACTGTGCTCTGGCACTACAAGATGCAGAGCTAACCTTAAGAAATGGGGCTACAAAGTGGAGTCCACGACATGCGAATGTGGAGTAGAGCAAACCACAGAGCACTTACTACAGTGCAACCTGAGCCCTGCCACATGCATAATGGAGGACCTTCTTACAGCAACACCAGAGGCACTCCAAGTGGCCAGCTACTGGTCAGAGGACATTTAATATAATGCCAGGCTTTAAAACTTTGTTTTTAAAATACATTACAACAGCAGAGAACTATCTTGATCCTATTCTAGGCCATGCACTTTATTGTGGCCCTCCTATCGGTTTACTATGACACTTTTTCTATGGATATTCCTAGCCCTTGGTTATTTGAATCTTGCACTTTCCAGTGGCCCATTTTGGAAGCTTGGCATTTATTTGAACTCGAACCCAGTTTTGACTTTATCTCAGCCATAAGATTGTTTTATGATGATGTTTGTAACTGTTTTATGTTTTTATTTGATTGATTTTATTGTGTTTTGTTTTTATCTTGTCCCCTTGTAAACCACCCCGAGTCCCTTTGGGGGGATGGTGGCGGCATATAAAAATAAAATTGTTGTTGTTGTTGTTGTTGTTGTTATTATTATTATTATTATTTTACCCTTGGTTCACTGCTGATATGAAAAAAACCGTTGCATTACTGTTTTGTAGGTATTTATAATCCCTCTGTTTTCTCCATTTAGTTGTATTCCTCTGCCATTGCATTAAAAAATCCTGACAAAGATCCTGACTGAAAATAGTATTTAATACATATGAGATACCATCAAATTTTCAAAGCATTTACATTTCCAATCAACAGGGGAAAGAGGGCAAATGTTTCTTCCTCTATGCAAGATCAACGTGCACATTCAGCTCTAGCACATTTGCTGTAGTAGCAGAGTCAGTTAGGAAACCTCCACAAATCCGCTTCTTTTCAAAGAACAGGTGTGTTGGACTTCAGCTGCCAAATGCCTCTGAGGCACAAACAGTGCCTTTCTGTGAAAGCCGTTTTTGGCAAGGGAAGAGTTCAAAAACACCTCTTCTCTGCATCCAAGGATGAGCAGCTGCATCAGTCTTAGTCCCAGGAGGATTTGAGCGATGCAGGGAGAGTGAGCAAAAACTCACTGAACTAGAAGTCTGTTCTTTGGGATTTCACCCTTGTACAAATGTTCACAATACATTTAACTAACATCCTGCAAACCATTTTGCTCGCTGGCTTATAAGCCAGGAACCTGTACTTGAATGCTATCTATAAAAAGCCCTCTTATCCATATCTAGCAAGGAAATGCAGGCTGAGTTGCTGTGAGTTTTCTGGGCTGTATGGCCATGATCCAGAAGCCTTCTCTCCTTCCATTCTCTTAAGATGAATCCATGCTCCACAATTAAAGCAGTCAACCTCATGTATAAGTCAAAGGCAGGTTTTAGGATCAAAAAATGGATATTTTATATGACCCATGGATGTCAAGGGTCGTTCTAGGAAAAGAAAAGAGTAAGCAACACTTAAGAGGACTAGTCACCTTTGGTTGCTACCATTTCCCCACTCAGGCATTCAAACAGGCCAGAAATGGTACCACAGTAAAGACAATTGTGGAGATTGATGCTTCCTTAAGGCTTTCCCGGGATGGACTGAGCTCCTGCCTTTTACCACTCTACTCAGAGAAGGGGGACGGTTCCTTTGGCAATAAGAGTTAAGGAATGGTACTTATACTGACCCATAGATAGATCGGCCCAGGTTTTTTGGGTTGATTTTCTGGCTAAAATTTATTGACGTATACATTATATAGTGGTTATCTGTAAACAGTGGGCTTTTTTCTTCTAAATTGAAATGTCCATGGACTACGATATTGAATTGCGTGATTTTAAATACCGTATTTTCCGGCATATAAAATGACTGGCATAAAAGATGACTCCTAATTTTTCCAGTTAAAATATGGAGTTTGGGATATACTGCCCATATAAGACTACCCCTCTTACAACACGCACCAAATATTTTTTAAAAAAAGAAATCAGATTTGATTCCAATATGGTAATTTTTCTATTACTGTACCTCCTTCTCTGCCTCTCAGATCTTGCACATACATGTCTGTAGTCCTCAGGAGCGAGATCTGAGAGGCAGAGAAGGAGGTGCGGTAATTGGATACAAGCGCGGGCCAGATGGGTGAAAGAGGCATGCTTTTCTGGGAACAGTGTCGCTCTATCTCTTTTTTCCATATCCCAGGCGTCGTGGATGCCTGCAGCTTGCTCCACCTTTCACTTACACCTTCCTGATGAGGCACCCCCTCACCTCATCATCGCGACCGCATTAAGTTACCTCTTTCCACAAACCCTAGTGAGTGGATTTTCTTCTACCATGCTTTTACAAAGCTTGCTGCTTTCATATGGTCGCCGCATCCCACAGGGATGCAGCTGCGGCCATTTTTGAGCTCCCCCCACCATATGTGACGACCACAGATTCTCCAGTCTGGCTCAGAAGTTTCATTACCTGCCCTATAAGACGATCCCCGGCGTACAAGATGACCCCCGACTTTTGAGAAGATTTCCCTGGGTTAAAAAGTAGTCTTATACGCCAGAAAATACAATAAT